TCACAGAGACCCACAGAGACCCACACACACTCACAGAGACTCACAGAGACCCACAGAGACTCACAGAGACTCACAGAGATTCACAGAGACATGCAGAGACTCACAGAGACACACAGAGACTCACAGAGACCCATAGAGACACACAGACAGAGACTCACAGAGACCCATAGACACCCACAGAGACACACAGAGACTCACAGAGACACACAGAGACTCACAGAGACTCGCAGAGACTCACAGAGACTCACAGAGACCCACAGAGACCCACACAGACTCACAGAGACACACACAGAGACTCACAGAGACCCACAGAGACTCACAGAGACCCACAGAGACTCACAGAGACACACACAGACTCGCAGAGACCCACAGAGACTCACAGAGACTCACAGAGACACACAGAGACCCACAGAGATTCACAGAGACAAGCAGAGACTCACAGATACACGCAGAGACCCACAGAGACTCACAGAGACTCACAGAGACCCACAGAGACCCACAGAGACTCACAGAGACCCACAGAGACTCACAGAGACTCACAGAGACTCACAGAGACCCACAGAGACTCGCAGAGACTCACAGAGACACGCAGAGACTCACAGAGACCCACAGTGACCCACAGAGACTCACAGAGACACGCAGAGACTCACATAGACTCACAGAGACACACAGAGACACGCAGAGACTCACAGAGACATCCAGAGACCCACAGAGACTCACAGAGACTCACAGAGACACGCAGAGACTCACAGAGACACGCAGAGACTCACAGAGACACACAGAGACACACAGTGACTCACAGACACCCACAGAGACTCACAGAGACCCACACAGACTCACAGAGACCCACAGTGACTCACAGAGACCCACAGTGACCCACAGAGACCCACAGAGACCCACAGAGACCCACAGACTCACAGTGACCCACAAAGACTCACAGAGACCCACAGTGACTCACAGAGACCCACAGACTCACAGTGACCCACAGAGACCCACAGACTCACAGTGACCCACAAAGACTCACAGAGACCCACAGTGACTCACAGAGACCCACAGTGACCCACAGAGACTCACAGAGACCCACAGAGACCCACAGAGACCCACAAAGACTCACAGTGACCCACAGAGACTCACAGAGTCCCACAGAGACCCACAGAGACCCACAGTGACTCACAGAGACCCACACAGACCCACAAAGACTCACAGAGACCCACAGTGACTCACAGAGACCCACAGAGACTGACAGAGACCCACAAAGACTCACAGAGACCCACAGACTCACATTGACCCACAGTGACCCACAGAGACTCACAGAGACCCACAGAGACTGACAGAGACCCACAAAGACTCACAGAGACCCACAGTGACTCACAGAGACCCACAGTGACCCACAGAGACCCACAGAGATTCACAGAGACTCACAGAGACCCACAAAGACTCACAGAGACCCACAGTGACTCACAGAGACCCACAGTGACCCACAGAGACTCACAGAGACCCACAGTGACTCACAGAGACCCACAGTGACCCACAGAGACCCACAGAGACCCACAGACTCACAGTGACCCACAAAGGCTCACAGAGACCCACAGTGACTCACAGAGACCGACAGTGACTCACAGTGACTCACAGAGACCCACAGAGACCCACAGAGACCCACAGAGACTCACAGAGACCCGCAGAGACCCACACAGACTCACAGAGACCCACAGTGACCCACAGAGACTCACAGAGACCCACAGAGACTCGCAGAGACTCACAGAGACCCACAGAGACCCACAGAGACTCACAGAGACTCACAGAGACACGCAGAGACCCACAGAGATTCACAGAGACCCACAGAGATTCACAGAGACACGCACAGAGACTCACAGAGACCTACAGAGACCCACAGAGACTCACAGAGACTCACAGAGGCCCACAGAGACTCGCAGAGACTCACAGAGACCCACACAGACTCACAGAGACCCACAGAGACTCACAGAGACCCACAGAGACACGCAGAGACTCACAGAGACTCAGAGACACACACAGAGACCCACAGAGACTCACAGAGACCCACAGAGACACGCAGAGACTCACAGAGACTCAGAGACACACGCAGAGACTCACAGAGACTCACAGAGACCCACAGAGACGCACAGAGACTCAGAGACACGCAGAGACTCACAGAGACTCAGAGACACACACAGAGACTCACAGAGACCCACAGAGACCTACAGAGACCCACTGAGACCCACAGAGACACGCCGAGACTCACAGAGACCCACAGAGACTCACAGAGACTCACAGAGACCCACAGAGACTCACAGAGACTCACAGAGACCCACAGAGACACGCAGAGACTCACAGAGACTCAGAGACACACACAGAGACTCACAGAGACCCACAGAGACCCACAGAGACCCACAGAGACCCACAGAGACACGCAGAGACTCACAGAGACCCACAGAGACTCACAGAGACTCACAGAGACCCACAGAGACTCACAGAGACCCAC